ATCATCATCATCATCATCATATACTGCATCAAATATAGATAACGCACAAAGATATCCAATATAGATCTGTCGTACTGTTTGTATCAGCAAAATAAAAGCCTCCACAAAATAAATCTCTGATTCATTTTACAATATGTAAAAGAAAACACCAACACGTTTCTTTTTCAAAGTGCCAGCGACATTATTTTACAACAATGTGCAAATGTATGAAGTTTTTCTATATTTTACATTCTGATCATGTTTCCCGTCATACTGTGTGGTTGCTAGGAGACAGAGTTGTAGACACGCCCCCGCAGACTGCTGATTGGTGGGATATGAAGCAGAGCCGAACGCAGGACGTCCTGTCGTGCTCTGGTTTGGCTCGTCGACCGTTACGGGCTCGAGAGTTAAGACAACGACGTAAGGCAACGTTTGGCATCAGGCTGAGTCCTCCGGCTCTCATCTCCCCGCCAGCTGACCGCAGGTAAACACTGAACAACTTCTTCTTCTACCATTTGAATCAGTTGTTTCTCAGGCTGATGACGACTCTGCAACTAATGTTTATTTTCATTATTGATTAATCAGAATTTATTTTCTCCATTAACGATTTTGTCAATAAGAAAACAGCGAAACATCCTGCTGTGTCCAAAGTGACCAAACATCCAGAACTGTTCATTTCTCACAAAGAGAAGCATCAGATAAACAGTAGGTAGGTCAAAACCGTTGCTTATTAATTTCCTGTCCATCTAATTGTTGCAGCTTCAGTGCCGACACATTTAGAAAATGTGATGACAATGTGGAACTGTTTTTAATTTACATTAAATAGAGATGCACCGATTTATCGGCTGAATGTCGGCAGTGTTTGATGTTTTTCTGTTGTGTCTCAGACTAGAAAGCAGGACTCCAGATTGGCAGCGTCCCGTTGTCCCGTCGTCCCGGCGTCCCAGGTACAACAGGAGACATGTTTAGAACAAACACAGATCATCCTCGAGACACTGTTGGGACAAAAGGACGCTGTAACTCGTTACCGATGCGTCCTATTGTTTCCTCTAATGATGCTACAGCAAGAACAACAGACCTGTGTTCACATCAGCAGGGAAGAGCTACTTAAAGTCAGCTGTTAGCAGCTAGTTAACGTTAGCTGTTAGCAGCTAGTTAACATTAGCTGTTAGCGGCTAGTTAATGTTAGCTGTTAGTGGCTAGTTAACGTTAGCTGTTAGCAGCTAGTTAACATTAGCTGTTAGCAGCTAGTTAATGTTAGCTGTTAGCGGCTAGTTAACGTTAGCTGCTAGCAGCTAGTTAACATTAGCTGTTAGCGGCTAGTTAATGTTAGCTGTTAGCGGCTAGTTAACGTTAGCTGTTAGCAGCTAGTTAATGTTAGCTGTTAGCCGCTAGTTAACGTTAGCTGTTAGCAGATGGTGGCCAAAGCTAACAGCTGACGGAGGTCACGCTGAGTTATGTTATGATGTGTTTATTGGGCGAAGCTAAATTATTAACTAATAATCATTAATGTTTTCATGATGCGTTCAGTGTAATCTTGTAAAATGTAGTTTTTTATGATTTATTTAGTAAAAAGACTTTTGAAGCAGTTGTTTGAAAGGTCGTTCGTAAATGTGTCTGATTGAATTTGTGCTCATTTAAAGGAACGAAGGACTGAATGAATTTAAAACTGTTCAGCTATTTGTGTAATTTCCTTGTTTCCCTGGAACAACGGGGGAATAAACAAACACAGAAAGACACACCAACAACAGTTATTTTAATCATCAGTATTGACCCAGTTTCATCGGTGCATCTCTAACATGAACTTTTAGACGCATCTGTTCAGGATTCCATTAAACAAACATCTAAATCTTTAAATCAGTTTTGTGACGACGTCTGAACAGAATCTGGATTTTCTTGGACAGAAAAGTTTTTCAGAAGCTGACATGTTCTGTTAGTGTCAGCGTCATCACACACGAAGCAAACTGAGCTGCAGATGAGTTCCTCACGTGTTTGTCTGGTGGCCATTTTGCTGCATTTTTTACGAATCAAGTCCAAATCAAACTGAGCAACAGGAACAGTTTTTGGGTCAGCTGTTGAGTTAAAGACGAGATCGAAAAGTTTTATTATCAAAGCTGTAATTTGACTTTTTATTTGAAACCAGGTTCTTTGTGTTTTCCTGCGAGGTGACATGGATCAGCTGTAAAGGACAAGAGCGGGACGACCTCAGCGTTAGAGATGAACGGATGAATATGAGGCAGAGAAGAAGAAGAGTGAACAGGTTGGCAGCCTGGAGCCTGGTCTCAGATCAGTCCTGCTCCGTTTGGCACTTGAGTCGATCCCCGGCGGGTAGACGGGCAGGTCGGGGGGGGGGGGACGGACACAGAACGAAGCCCGACCTTTGACCTGATTCTCACACAGGCCTGAAGCTCCTCAAGAGGAGGTCAGATACTGAACATGAAAGGTTAAAGGTCAGATCCACTGTGACCTCACATTTATTCTGAGAACGTTATTTTCTGTTTGTGTTCACAGACTGAACCTGGATCAGCTGCTTGTGGTCAAGATGATTTTGTTCCAGGTTCATCTGCTGATTATTTTCTCTGTTAATCGATCAACAGTATTGATCTGTGAAATATCACAACAGCCTTCTTTAAACTGCTGCTTTCCTTCAGAGATTCTCAGCTTCTTGATAAATGAATTAACCAGTTCATCAAATGATCAAACTTGTTCCGGGTGGAGACAGCAAGTGGACGTTGAGTTGAGCTTTTCAGTCAAACATTTTGTTTCTGTTTGTTTATGTTCACAGAAAACTGCAAACTGGAGCTGAGTGTAAAAGATGAAGCTCAGGAGTCGCGGTCGAAAGCTTCAGGAACCAGTAAGTAGAAACTGTATTACCAAGCAGACTCTACTGATTCAGGCTTCTCCTCAGAGCTGGATCACCTTCACAGAGTCAGTCAGTGAACACAATCTCAGAAACTGGATATAAAAATTCATTTTAAACAAAAATATAAAAACTGAAATTGAAAATGAAAAGTTTCCTTCTGATATCAGATCTGTTGTCGCCTGAGTGAATCAAGCCTCGGTGTGACTGTTGAAAACAGATCGGAGGTCAGCGGTCAGAGAACCCCACGCTGCTCTGGGATCAGATTTAGGAGCTGGTGATTCACAGTTTTTAGCTTCAGGAGCGCACAAGCTGTGTCGATGTGTCGACACAAGCCAAACATCAGGACGACGGTTTGAGTCAAACTGAATTTAGATCCGAAACAATCAGAGTCACAAACAGGCTGAAAGACGTCAGCTGGCTGATCTCAGGACTCCTGGCAGCGTGGTGAGTTCATGGACCGCTGGTTGCTCCGTAACAGGAACATTCTTTTACACTTAAGTCCTGCCGACAAACTCTGAGTTTGTCTCAACAAAACTGGAGGAACGAACTCCAGGAATTAAACCCAGCCGCACATTTGACTGAAGAGCAGAACGTTCTCTAAGGTTTTTAAGACCTCTGGGGATTTTCTGGGGGTCAGTCAGTCTGTGTGTCTACAACTCTGTCTTAATAAACAGCCATCATACACTCACACTCACACACACACACACACACACACACACACACGTTACACACAACCTGTTAAATCTGACCCACACCTTTAGACTTGCCTGTTGATCTGTTGATGTTTACTGTTGGTTTGATGATGAAGTCATGAAGCTGTGTGTGTGTGTGTGTGTGTGTGTGTGTGTGTGTGTGTGTGTGTGTGTGATGGCCGTCTCTCAGGTGTGTGTCTGCACGTCCATCCCGCCCACCACAAGACGAGACCGATGCTCTTCATCCAACATGGAGGAAGCCCGACGTTCAGCAGCGTTTAGGGAATCTCTCGGATGTTCTTCTTCAGCTCCTCCAGGGTTTGTGAAACGTTATAGTTTGATTTGATCCTTGAAGCAGTGACGAATGATATTTACATTTTCATGGTGAGAACCGGAGGAGTCGAGTCGAAGCCCTTTACAGTCCGAGAACCGAGTGATCTGCTGGTTTTAATCTCTAATTTAGTGGTAATCTGGGAAAAGGAAGCTGCTGTGATTATAAAACCCTCCTGGAGGAGCTGCTTTGTTCTTTTATTGAAAACTCTTTGTAGCTCTGGTGCCTGATGACGTTTGAAGGAGCCGAAGACGACGACACATCCATCAGGTAATTCAGGAAGGAGCCAATCAATCAATCAGTTAATCCAAGGCCGATGGATCACTGAGGTGTGGTACAGGGTGGAGGTGAATCTGGAGGTGCTGAGGTGTCGGCCATCTTGTCGCAGGTGGGATGGACGGAGATGGAGATGGAGCGCTGTGATTGGTGGCCTACATGACGCTCTCGAAGATGATGACCTTATTGTCGTCGGTGCCGGGGGACAGCGAGCTCAGGGACTTGATGTCGGGGGCCATGTACTCCAGGTGATGGGCCCCCCACACCGGAGTGGTCAGGTGAGCCCAGCGCTGCAACACACAGCAGGACACATGAAGAGACACACACAGGTGACACGTGACACACTAACTTGTTCTGATTTTTTTAAGCACTGGGGAGGGACTTATGTTTTTTAATTTGGCTTGGGGGGGGCACACAAATTGAAACGGTTGCGTTTTGTGTTTATTTTACCGCCAGTTTTTAAAGAAAACATGCATGGGCGGGTTTGGAAGGCATGTTCCTTTTAAAATCACCAAAATTACACCATTTATCGAAACCAAAAAATGTACATTTAAAAAATATAATTAAAAATGTTTTTAAAAAAAATGTGAAAAATGTAAGTATGAGTATATTTTCTTTACAAATTGCCAAAATTACACCATTTACATCACCAGAAGCTGTATATTATAAAAATTTTTTTACAAGAAAATAAAAAAATTCAAAAGAAAAAAAATCATGCTTTCCAAACCCATGGGCAAATTTTTTTGAAAAATCGCCAAAATAACACAATTTGCCAAAAAAATGTACATTTAAAAAATAAAAAAATAAAAAAAATTTAAAAAAGTTTTCAAAATGTAAATGAAAAATCTCACCTTCCAAACCCATGAGCATATTTTCTTTAAAAAATGCCAAAATTACACCATTTATTACAGACAGAAACTGTAAATTAGAATTTAAAAAAAAGGAATTTGATTTTTTTAAAAAAAAAGAAAAAAATTCAAATAAATAAAATCTAAAAAAGAAAAAGAAATATGCCTTCCAGACCTATGAGTGAATTTTCTTTACTTTTACTTTTCTTTGAATTGTCAAATTACACCATTTATCACAGTTGGAAACTGGAAATTAAAAAAAAACTAAAATTAAATCAAAATAAATAAAAAAATAAATAAAAACAATTTAATGAAAAAATCTTAAAAGAAAACATGCCTTCCAAACCCATGTGCATATTTTCTTTAAAAATCACCAAAACAACACCATTTATCACAGCCAGAAACTTGTCTGAGCTATAAGTAGTGATACTTCTCTGTAAGTTATTTGAACTATATTTATGATATAGTTTTTGAGATTTTATGAGCAGAGTGCAAAGCTGTTTACATAGTTTGATCTACAGTAGAAATATGTCCCCAGTGCCTACATTGGTATTTTTGGTTAAAAACTAATTTATGGTGGACGGAGGGTCACGCATTTACTGCCAGTCAGCCAGGGGAAGGGTCACACCTCAGCCGCCCCGTCCCCTGATAAATAGAGAACAGTCCCTTAAACAGTAACTGAGCCTGTGATCAGTGCAGAGAAGCACTCTCATCTTTACTGCAGCATAAGTTCTGATACCACAGTGTAGAAATACTCTGCTACATGTAAAAGCCCTGCATTGAAAATGTTTCCTGAGTACACAAGTCTTGGCATCAAAAAGAAACATTGAGCACCAAACTTTAACTGAAAGGCTTCTTTTCTGTGTGTGTCCAGTGTGAGTGCTGACCTCTCTGAAGGTTCCCTTGGCTCTGAAGAGTTTGTAGAGAAGACTGACGGGGATGCAGAGCATGGAGGACAGAGCCAGACACCAGCCAATCACCTCGCCCCACCACGGGTACACGTACGTGTTGTTGTAGTTCAGCGGCTTGTAGTTCACCAGGTGGAACAGGAAGATGCCCTACAGACGACAGGACGGAGACATCGAGCATAAAATAGGAGAGTTTTTGAAAAGTTTTTGGTAAATAACAGTTAACATTTTGTATTTCTTATATTTGTATTTTTAATGTTTTAGTCATCCATTTTCTTGAAATGATCTGGAGCCGGGTCTCTGTGGCTGCAAGCTAACAAAGGTCGTCTACATGTTTGTCGCCCCAACAGTGTGTCCCAGCTCCTCCTGAAGGACCCCGAGGCGTTCCCATGCCAGATGAGATATATAATCCCTACAGCGTGTTCTGGGTCGACCCCGGGTCTCCTACCAGCTGGACGTGCTCTGAAAACCTCTGAGGAAGGAGCCAGCAGCATCACCTGCCTCTGCTGGCTCCTTCTAACACCACAGAGCAGCGTCTCTACTCTTGAGTGCAGGTCTGAACATCACTGCGTCCACACTGGTTAGTATGAACGTATCAGTCGAATGGTAAAAGTACATTTATCAATGTGTTGTTGTTGTTTTTCTGTAGGACGAGTGGTCTCACCATGCAGACACACGGAGTAATGAAGGACCAGCACCACTTCATCCAGGGGAAAGGCCGGTAGCCAATCATACGAGCCACATCGTCCATGAAGCGGTCAGCACCTGCAACAAACGACTCAATCAGCGAGGAGCAGGCGGAAAGATGCTGCAGCAGTGTTAATGATGATGACATCACTGACACACAACACACAACACACAACACACAGCCGTCACTGTGGCCTGTTCTGATATTCAGCTGTGACTCTGTACGACTGGTGAGGTGAAAAAAGATTCTTTTGATTTACGACACTTTTTACAGGATTTTTAGTGTAGTATGTATTTTTTCAATACAACACTATAACATGTTTTTGACATATTATGCTATGACTTTTATTTCTGACATACTGTAGTTGGGTTTATTGATTTTGTTTGTTTTATTTTCTTGTTTGTTTTGAAATGATAATCCTGAAGAAATGCATCAATGAAGGAAATAACATGACTGAAAGTGAAGCACAAATTGCTGTGTAGCATTTTTGATGCCTCTTATATTTGTGCATCTTATATTTTATATGTTTTCATACATTTATTTGTATTGCTTTTTTGGTATTCTATCCAATGACTGTTTGTTTGATCATTCTTTGCTCGTTCCACACCATGCTATGAAATTTCAGATGATTCTTTTTAATGTTTTACTACAGTATGATATTACTTATGGATTTTTTATTTGGCAGACTACAAAAATTGACTTCTTAGGGGGAATATTACACTGACATTTTCAAAGACATTTATTTTGGAAGTGGGGCATTTTTGTATGCCATACCAACACATCTTCTCAAAGATACTAATGGAGGGAACACAGAATACAGATATATTTTTACATTTATTGAATTCATTACTTTGTTTTTCTTTTGTAACATTGATTTGTTTTGTTTTGTTGTCTGATATTTTGTTTGTTTTAAATAAATGTGTTCATGTATGGCTCCTACTTTATACTTAGAATTATATATTTTATATGATTTTTTTCAATTGATTTTTTGTACAATGTACAATAAATTTTTATGGACTTCCAAGACCATATAATGAAAAATTATATCACTTCTCAGAATTTCCTATTTTTCATGGTAGTTTCTTTTTTCAACGTTTTTTTTTTTTGCCATGCTATAATTCTGGACGACATACTATACTATGACGTATTTTCATGATTTCGGACGACATGCTATACTATGACATATTTTCATCATTTCGGACGACATGCTATACTATGACGTATTTTCATGATTTTGGACAACATGCTATACTATGACTTTATACTATGACATATTTTCATCATTTTGGATGACATGCTATACTATGACGTATTTTCATGATTTTGGACAACATGCTATACTATGACGTTTTTTCATGATTTCGGACGACATGCTATACTATGACGTATTTTCATGATTTCGGACGACATGCTATACTATGACGTATTTTCATGATTTTGGACGACATGCTATACTATGACGTATTTTCATCATTTTGGACGACATGCTATACTATGACATATTTTCATGATTTCGGACAACATGCTATACTATGACATATTTTCATGATTTCGGACGACATGCTGTACTATGACATTTTCATTACATTTTGGACAACATAGTATACTATGATGTTTTTTTCGTCATCCCATACTACAACTTTTTTTGGACATAATATAGTATAATTTTTTTTGTTTGTTTATTTTTGACATGCTAAAATATGGAGTTTTTTGTCTTGCAATACTATGACGATTTTTATTTTATTTTGTGACATACTATACCATGACGTTTTATTGACATACTATACTATGACATGTTTTTGTTTTACTTTACTATGACTTCATTTGACACACAATACTGTGCTGTTTTTTTTTAATACTTTGGTATGACTTTTTTGGCACATTATACTATGACGTTTTTTTTGTCATACTATACTAAATACCTCTTTTCTTACTATTTTAGAAATAGTAACCTTGCTGATTTTCCAAAGCTTCTCTTCAACAGGTTTTTCATTGGGACCTGATCAGCAGTACAGAGATTCTCATACTTTTTCCTTCACTCTTATTTATTCTCAATTCAATCGATCCCGCCTTCCTTGGACAGACAAGCTTTCCTATGATGTACTGTACTTTGACATACTATACTACAACTTTTTCACTACAACACAGTGTGCTATAATACTTTGTACCATGAGACAGATCCTGAACTGTGACCTTCATTACTGTAATATCATATAACGAAACTATTCACACACCTATTTTAAGAAAGGATGCTTCGCTGACATACTTTACTGTGGCACACCATGCCAATACCTGAAACACTACACTCTGTATTTGTGTGTGTGTGTGTGTGTGTGTGTGTGTGTGTGTGTGTGTGTGTGTGTCTTGCATACCGTAGACCCAGGCAACTACTATGCATTCCCAGAATGCTTGCCACAACAGAGTCATCCCACTGGCCGAGTAGTAGTCAAACAACTGGAAGACGTACATCCCTCCCTGCAGAGACAGAGACACAGTTCTGTGTTTAAGACAATAAAATGTTTGATTCACTGCAACAAAGTCAGTCATCGGCCGAAGTGTGAAAGGTTTCCTGTTTTCTTTTAAGTTCAGATAGATGTTTCAACTTTTATCACTGCCAGTTATCGATAATAAAAGCAGTTTCTGAAGTATTATTTTCACGTTCAGCAGGAAACAGACAGTCTGTAACTGACCTGCGTCACCATTGAGAGGTCAATAATGAAGCACAGTAAACAGCATATAGCCACAGAGATCTCCCTTTTGTAGCGATGGTAATGTTTTCCAGGAAACAGATCCAGGATTCCAGTTACGAAACCTTCCACCCCAACAAACTGGAGACACACAGAGAGGAAGACTCAGATATTAACAACTCAAACACATGAGACTTATTCCAGATATATAAGACATAACTTTACTCATATCCTGGGAGAAATTCTCATTGTAACAGCACAAGAGATTAACGAGTGAAAAAAAAATAAAAGTATTTATTCTAAAACTATAAGTAAAAGAAAATGACTTCAGAAAATGTAAAAAAAACTTTATACATAAAGCATTTGAAACCTGGAGCGACATCACTTTTCTTGTGCTGCTTTCAGATGCCTTTAGCAAATATTTAAACCTTTGAACTCTGAGAAAATTGGTAAGAAATGTTGTGCAAATTGCAAAGTAAATAAACAAATAAACAAAAATGTAGATTTTTAAAAATATTTCTCAAAATATGAAAAAAAAACCTCTGGAAAAAAGAAAAAAAGCTTGGGGAAAATCTATTTATAATAATTCTTATTATTACATCTTAAAATTATGTTACAGAATTATCAAAAATGTTCAAGCAGTTTTTAATTTATGTCTTTTTACTAATTTCTTGCAAATTTTTGGGGTCATTGTTTGAAGCTTCTGGCAGCAGAAATGTTTAATATCTGTGAGTCACTGAATGCACCATCAGAGCAGAGTCTCTCTGCTGCGTCACCACATGATAATAACGTAACTCTGATGATGATAACAAAGCAGAATGAAGCGATCTCTGACGTCATGACCAGGAGTGAGAAGTATTGATCACCTGACTGTCGAGTCCGAGCAGCAGCAGCATGAAGAAGAAGAGCGCCGCCCACAGAGGAGCCACCGGCATCAGACTGACCGCCTTCGGATACGCAATGAAGGCCAGACCTGGACCTGAAGCACACACACACACACACACGCACATGTTAGATGTCTAATAATCTACAACACAGTTTTCTGTCACACGTTTGTATTTTATGAGATAATCTTACTCCTGACTTTCTTTATGAACGTTTCATGTTTATTTAATTTGACAGATTTGATTGGAGTGTTTGAGGTGAACACTGAGGCAGGAAGTTGGAATATTCATGTTTAACTTTATTAATATAATATAAATAAAGGACTTATTGAATATTCACTTCTTCCTGCTCTTCTTTGGACATGAAATCTATAATTATGTTGTTTATTGAGAGTTTGTCGTTTGCTCAGTTTTGTCCTGTTTTGTTTTCTTACCTTTTTTCTTTTACACGTTGAAAATGAAAATAAACTTAAACTTGCAGAATCATTGTTTAATCTTTATCCCAGATTGTGTTCAGATTTTATTTTATGTTGATTTAAAGGTCCAGTGTGTCAGATTCAGGAGGATTTAGTGTCGTCTGTCAGTGAGGATTACAGATTACAGATTACAGATTACAACCATCTGAAACTTCTCCTGGTCAGAATTCCTTCAGTGTTGATTGTTGAGGAGCTGAATTATCCTCAGAGGTCTCTTCCTCTCAGAAACACACACAGCAGCTGATTCACACTCTGAAGAAAGACGTTTCATGGTACAAAAATCAGCGTATTTGTCATCGGGAGATATTCCAATTCTTTCTCTAAAATGTTTTGTCATTGGCCAACTTTTTTTCCTCTAAATATTTCGACTGTTTTGTCTCATTATGTAAACTTTTTTCTTGAAATATCACAACTTTTTTCTCGACCACGTTTGACTTTACCTGACTCTTTTTATTTCTTGGAATATTCTGACTTTTCCCCTTAAAATATTTCTACTTTTTGTCAGATTATATGAAGACTTTATTTCTTGAAAAAATACAAAGTTTGACTTTACCTGACTTTTTTTTCTCAAAATATTAATACCTTTTTTGACACTGCATGATGTTTTTCCTTGAAATAATTTTACTTTTTTGTTGAAATATTGCCACATTTTTCTCTACACTGTTGACTTCACCAAACTCTTTTTTTGTTTTGAAATATTGAGACTTTTTTCTCTAAAGTGTTTCGTTGTTATCCAACTTTTTCCCATGTAAAATTTCAAATATTTTGGCAAATGTATGAATGTATGACTTTTTTTCTTGAAATATTACGACTTACAAATATTACAACTCTTTCCCTAAAATGTTTTGACATTACTCAGACATGTCCATGACTGAAGAATTCATTCACTAATTCTGACCAAACTTGACACAAATGTCTAACAGGATAAAATAATGAAGGACAAAGGTCAAAGGTCAGCTTGACTGTGACATCATCATGTTTTAACGTCATATCTCAGGAACAGAAGGGGAGACATTTGGTCAGATACTGAATTGGTGACTCTAATCTTGAAACTGTGCTGATTGTATAGATCTTCTGTGTGTGAAGCATCCATGTTTTCACTGACATGGATGGAGACTGTCAGAGACACTGGACTGGTGGGCGGAGTCATACAACCACAGGGTGGACTGGTGGGCGGAGTCATACAACCACAGGGTGGACTGGTGGGAGGAGTCATACAACCACAGGGTGGACTGGTGGGCGGAGTCATACAACCACAGGGTGGACTGGTGGGCGGAGTCATACAACCACAGGGTGGTGGTTCCAGTTCATCCATACATCAGACTCTTCAGTTAGGTGTGTAAATTTAGCAGGTTAAAAATGTACGGACTGGCCCTTTAAGCCTTTAAAGAGAGGTATGTGTGGAGACACGTTTGTCTTGACTGACAGGTGGGTCATCCAATCAGCTGTGGTCGTTTTCAGAGCTGAGCCTCATGAAATAAAGATGAGTCACATGTCATGAGGTGAAAGGGCCACCTTAAATAATCCTTCAGTTAATACTGCACACACACACACACACACACACACACACAGAGTGATGTTAATACTTTAAACCATTGTAAACTTGTCAGTAATTGGATTTGCTTTTGTTCTTTTTGCAACGAGATTAAAATAAAAAGATTCACGTCCTCACGCTGTCGTTTTCATTTACACACACACTCAGAGTTAATCTCGTCATTAGTCAGAGCAGCACTGATGCTACTTTCTTTAAAACATAGCGCAGCGCTTCACAGACTGATCCCTGCACGCTGCGTCAACAGTCTGATGTGTAAACGTGGGCGGATCTACAGAAACAGATAAGAGCCAAAATATTCATAGACGACATCGAGATAACTCAGGTTCCTCACATTAAATTTACAGGGCTCATGGGGAGCTTAATGGCAGTCAGGAGACACTCATAAGCACCAGTGATGTAATTAAAAAAAAATATATATATATACATATATATATAATTAATGATGGCCAGTTGAAAATTTAGTGGAGTGAAGCAGTAAGAGCTCACTATCATGGTGAGTAACAATGAATGGAAGAGTTGGAGGACGGAAACATGAACGTTTATGAGAGAAACATGAATCCATGATGAGACGGTCAGAGCGAGCGTCTGCTGCGCAAGGCCTTCTGTGGAGAAACTAAATATAACTGGAGTTTGTGATGTCACGTCATGTGCTTCAACGCTATTAATAAACATACAGTTGGCTGACAGCGCCGCATATAAAACTATGCAAACACATACACACACACACACACACACACACTGCTACAGTAAAGGTATGAGATACAGGTAAAGTGAAAGCACAGACGTATTACCAGTAAAATAATAAGTTTCCACAGTAAAAGTCAAATTGTGCAGCAGTGCAGTTTGTTTGAGGAAAAGTTACAACTTCAGTCATCACAGAACAGAATCGTCCTGAGTGTGTCTGCACGTCCTTCAGTCTGTAAACATTTTTATTTGTTCTTCATTTAACCAGAAAAAAAACCCTCCTGAGGTTAAAAATCTCTGTTTCCAACACAGGCAGCAACATAAAGTTACAGACAGACGACACAGAACAAATACACAGAATAAAAAATATACAGCGCTAAAACCAGAAATAAAAAACACAACATGAGACACATTTTTTTTTGTCATTGTCTGTTTTCTCCATAAGTTGAGGGGAGATCTGTTAGTATCAGCCTGTGGCCTCTCGACCTCTCCTGACACAGTTCTTATTTTTTCTTTTTTACTATTTGGTTTTTATGCAGTTTCATGTGTGTGCAAATAAAAATAGATAAAATAAACATAAAGTGAATCTGATCTAATGCTTGTGTTCTGGTTCCCTCAGAATGAGCTGTTTATATTTCCACAGGGAGCAGGTCCTCGTCTACACAGATCACCATGTTGCACAGCCATGTTTCTACAGTAGCCCAGAACGGTCAAACCAAACACTGACTCTAGATAGAGACATTCATGTGTTCACATCGTCCACCATAGTTAGCAGCTCCTCCATGATGAGCAGTGTCAGAAAACTGCCCCCCATTTTTAATCGTGAATTTCCTGGTGTGAATCAGCTGGTGTGTTTGTTTCTGAGAGGAAGAGACCTCTGTGGATGATTCAGCTCCTCAACAATGACCAGCTAACATGTTAGCATTCAGCTACCTACGTCCACACCCAGCAGTTAAAGATCAATCAATAGATTCATTAAGAGTTTTTGTGTCACGTAATGAACGTCAGTCCAATATTCTCTCTCTGTTAGCTCTGTTTTTGGTCTCCACCACCTCCTGAACTGCTAAATGCGCCGCTGTGTTCACCAGCTGGTCTCTACCTGTGTCTGTCTGCTGTTTCCTGCTGAGCAGGTGGAGTACAGTGGGGTCAAAAAGCTAAAGGCTGAGGCTGAAAAGCTCTGCAGAGCTGCAGAGATGGTGATAATTCTCTGTTCACTGAGCCTCGTCTCCGCCCTGCTGCTGTTCCCAAGACGCAGCACAGATTGAAAGTTTAAAATAACAGCAGCAGATTAATCATTCAAAATAAAGTTATTCTTTAGCAATGATCCTTGAATTCAGAACAAGGTCGACAAAAGCAGCTTCATGCTAATTTGCACTTTAGCTACATCTCAAACATGAGCTGGTGATATGACGTCGGCTTAGTTTGCTTCTTTTTCTGCTCCTCAGTGGCCATCAATCAATTAATGCATCTACAACCGATTTCACCCCCGGCCCAGATCGTCACGTTGTTCTCCTGCTGTGTGTTCACCTCACAGTCGGACCTCTAACCTCTGACTGGGAATAAAGAGCTTTTGTTCCATCAGCCTCGGAGGTTTAAAGGTATGTAGGTCAAACCTTTGTTGAATAACCATAATATCTTTAATAAAGTTGCAACTTAAAAACCTCAGGAGAGTTTGAGAGGAACAGCTGGTGTTTGTGTTTTTTTACCTGACTCAGCGACATGCGAGATGTCGACTCCCTGCTCAGCAGCCATGAAGCCCAGAATAGAAAACACAACAAAACCAGCAAAGAAACTGGTTCCACTGTTTATCAGAGCCAAGACGAAGGCATCCCTGCAGGAGAGGAGACAGAGGAGGAGAATTAGGTACTGTTTTAACACGGGTGCTAAATAGGCTACATACCTAAAAACCTTGTCAATACTAGATCATCAGTATTGATTTTAATAGGTACATTCGTCTCAATTATTAGTTCTTACTGTACACAATAAACCACAAACATCCTTTAACCTCCATTTTCTAAAACAAAGTCAACTATTGTGTTAAATTACTGTTTTTGTTTTGCTGTCTTTGTGAGGCCTTTGTCTCAAACCACCGTAGTGAGGACACTCCTGCATTGTGAGGACAGTTTGGTCCTCACTACTTTAAATGGCTGTTTTAACGTTAATGATTTGTTTGAAGGTCAGTAATGGAATGTAATAAAGTACATTTACTCAAGAACTGTGGTTAAAATTTACAAATTTAAGCTACTTATAATCCGGCTGTATCTTTTTATTATCGTCATTGGGGTGTAAACTTGCCCGTACAACACAATGTATATGACTAAGATATTACACTCAGGGATATTTTTAAGTTAGTTGAAGGACACAGGTAGAAATGTAACTATCATTTTTAGAACTTAATATTTTTTATTTTGTGTTCAAGTTCGATTGTCAGTTTGCTCGATAAAAGATTGTTGGCAATAATCGCCTGTCATTTCTTTAATCAAATAAGCAGTTTATTGAAAGCAGCAGAAAATGTGTGTGTGTGTGTGTGTGCGTGTGTGTGTGTGTGCGTGCGTGTGCGTGTGTATGTGTGTATGCGTGTGTGTGTGTCGTACTTGTAGCAGTCGTTGTTGAAGCGGTTGTAGCTGCCCAGAGCGGTCAGAGCTCCCAGCCCGATGGCGTAGGAGAAGAAGATCTGTGTGCCGGCGTCGATCCACACCTGAATGGGTCAGAGGTCACAGGTGTGTGATGCGTTCACTGCTGAACTTTACACGTTTAAAACTGAGAGCAGAAACAGGAAGGAACGAAGGCAGGAGGAAGTGTCTGGGTAGAACCACAATCATTTTTTTTCATTTGTCAGTGTTTACAATTTTTCAAAAAAAAAAAGTAATCTCCCATTCTTTGATCCATATTTTTATGTTTTTTGGTTTTATCTTGGTGTTACTTGTTTGTTTTAACTTTGTTCTTCCTCCTTCATCTTTGCTCTTTCCTGCTTTAGGCCAATAACCGTCATCGTCATCCTATCAATAATAATAATAAATTCTACAGTAATAATACTTATCGGCCTCTAATACTAACACTAGCAATAATAATCATAACAATAACAACAACATAATAAATATTAACAAAACTGAAACAAAAGTTTAACGACTACTGTCACATAATCACCAACCTCCTCCTTCCTATCATTATTATAAAAAAAATATTAAAATAAAAAAACTCTGTTTGGGTTTAGACTCTCACGCTCACACCAAGTTCACCTAAGAGACAGAACTCAAGGCATCAGTACCCATGTAGTGTGAACTGACCTGCGCCTCCTCCAGTTTGGACCAATCAGGTTTGATGTAGTACATGATGCCGTCGTAGGCTCCGGGAAGTGTGACTCCTCTGACCAGCAGGATGATGAGGACCACGTAAGGGAAGGTGGCTGTGAAGTACACAATCTGAAACACACACATTACCATTAAACACACATGACTCTGTATGTTGTTGGTAAAGAGTCCCTGCTCTCATTTCTAGGAACCTGGCAAATTTTATTAGTAATTTAAATCCCTGACAACCCAGAGTTGAGATCAGGACTCAGAGTTGCAGTCCTAAACGCCTCTCTGAGCTTCTAGTTCAGTTACCCAGCCATAGTTTTCATAGTTTTATACAAACGGTGTCTGTCCCCCGACCACCTAAATTATTTAAATCTAAAATTAAACAAAGAGGAGTTGTGCATAACAACCTCATAAAAATTAAAACCTCTTCTGTGACAGAAAGACAAAACAGGAGAATTAAATGCGGACTGTTAAATATCAGGTCTCTATCGTCTAAAGCAGTGTTAGTAAACGAATTAATATCAGATAATCATATTGATTTACTCAGTCTCACTGAAACCTGGCTGTGTCAAGATGAATATGTTAGTCTAAATGAGTCCACTCCTCCCAGTCATAATAATACCCACATTCCTCGAGGCAGCGGCCGAGGAGGGGGAGTTGCAGCCATTTTTAACTCTAGTCTGTTAATCAGCCCTAAACCTAAACTAGATTATAATTCATTTGAAAGCCTCGTTCTTAGTCTTTTACATCCGACCTGGAAAACCTCGCAGCCACTTTTATTTGTTATAGTGTACCGTGCTCCTGGCCCGTATTCTGAATTTGTATCTGAATTCTCAGAGTTTTTATCCAGTTTAGTTCTTAAATCAGATAAAGTTATTATTGTAGGCGATTTTAACATTCATGTCGACGTTGATAATGACTCCCTGGCTACCGCGTTTATCTCATTAATAGACTCCATTGGCTTCAGTCAGGGTGTACATGAACCCACTCACTGTTTTAACCATACCCTCGATCTAGTTCTGACGTATGGAATTGAAATTGATAACCTAAAAGTCTTTCCACAGAATCCCTTGCTATCAGATCATTATCTGATTACTTTTGATTTCTTTTTACTCGATTACACGCCACTCAGCAACAGTTACTATACTAGATGTTTATCAGATAGTGCTGTCACAAAATTTAAGGAAAAGATTACTTCGTCGTTAAATTCAATACCAATACCTTCAGTAACAGAGGTTTCCCGTGCCGACTTTAACCTCTCCCAAATTGATCATTTTGTTGATAGCGCCGTAGGCTCGCTGCGAACAACGCTCGACTCTGTAGCTCCTCTTAAAAAGAAGTTAACAAAGCAAAGAAAGTTTGCTCCTTGGTATAACTCTCAAACCCGTAGGTTAAAACAAATATCGCGAAAATTTGAAAGGAATTGGCGATTAACCAAACTGGAAGAATCTCGTTTAATCTGGACAGACAGTCTCAAAACTTATAAGAGGGGCCTCCGCAATGCCAGAGCAAACTATTACTCAGCATTAATAGAAGAAAACAAGAACAACCCCAGGTTTCTTTTCAGCACTGTAGCCAGGCTGACTGAGAGTCAAAGCTCTATTGAGCCTTGTATTCCTTTAGCCCTTAGCAGTAATGATTTTATGAGCTTTTTTAATGACAAAATTCTAACTATTAGAGGCAAAATTCATGACCTCCTGCCCTCAGATGGTAGGCCTACCTATCTAACCTCAAACACAGCTGTAGAATCTAATATATATTTAGATTGCTTCTCCCCAATTTCTCTTCAAGAATTGACCGCAGTGATTTCTTCATCTAAATCATCAACGTGTCTCTTAGACCCCATCCCAACTAGGCTACTTAAGGAGGTCTTTCCTTTAGTTAACACTCATATATTAGATATGATCAATATATCCCTATTAACAGGCTATGTACCACAGTCTTTTAAGGTAGCTGTAATTAAACCTCTCCTAAAAAAGCCCACCCTGGATCCAGAGGTGTTAGCCAACTATAGACCAATATCTAATCTTCCCTTTATGTCAAAGATCCTTGAGAAAGTAGTCGCAGACCAGCTGTGTGATTTTCTCCAGGATAATAATTTATTTGAGGAATTTCAGTCAGGATTTAGAGTGCATCATAGCACTGAGACAGCTCTAGTTAAAATTACAAATGACCTTCTGATTGCTTCAGACAAAGGACTCGTCTCTGTTCTTGTTTTATTAGATCTTAGTGCGGCGTTTGACACAATTGACCATCAAATTCTACTGCAGAGACTGGATCACTTAATTGGCCTAAAAGGTTCAGCACTAAGCTGGTTTAAATCTTATTTATCTGATCGTTTTCAATTTGTTGACGTTCGTAATGAATCATCCTTACGTACCAAAGTTTGTTTTGGAGTTCCGCAAGGTTCTGTGCTCGGACCAATCCTATTTACTCTATATATGCTTCCTTTAGGTAACATCATTAGAAATCACTCTATAAATTTCCATTGTTATGCGGATGATACACAGTTGTATTTATCGATGAAGCCAGAAGAAAGTAATCAATTAACTAAACTCCATAACTGCCTTAAAGACATAAAAAATTGGATGAGCACCAATTTCCTGATGTTAAATTCAGACAAAACTGAAGTTATTGTTCTTGGCCCCAAACAACTCAGAGACTCTTTATCTGATGACATAGTTTCTCTAGATGGCATTGCTCTGGCCTCTAGCACTACCGTAAGAAACCTCGGAGTAATATTTGATCAAGATTTGTCTTTTAATTCTCATTTAAAGCAAACCTCACGGACTGCATTTTTTCATCTGCGTAATATTGCGAAAATTAGGCCTATCCTGACCCGAAAAGATGCAGAAAAATTGGTCCACGCTTTTGTTACCTCAAGGCTGGATTACTGTAACTCTCTATTATCAGGTAGCTCTAGTAAGTCCTTAAAAACTCTCCAGCTAATTCAGAATGCAGCAGCACGTGTACTAACAGGAACTAAGAAACGAGATCATATTTCTCCTGTTTTAGCTTCTCTGCACTGGCTCCCTGTAAAATCCAGAATTGAATTTAAAATCCTACTGTTAACTTATAAAGCTCTAAATGGTCAAGCTCCGTCATATCTTAGAGAGCTCATAGTGCCATATTATCCCACCAGAACACTGCGCTCTGAGAACGCAGGGTTACTCGTGGTCCCTAAAGTCTCCAAAAGTAGATCAGGAGCCAGAGCCTTCAGCTATCAGGCTCCTCTCCTGTGGAATCATCTTCCTGTTACGGTCCGGGAGGCAGACACCGTCTCCACATTTAAGACTAGACTTAAGACTTTCCTCTTTGATAAAGCTTATAGTTAGGGCTGGCTCAGGCTTGCCCTGTACCAGCCCCTAGTTAGGCTGACTTAGGCCTAGTCTGCCGGAGGACCCCCTATAATACACCGGGCTCCCTCTCTCTCCCTCTCTCTCTCTCTCTCTCTCTCTCTCTCTCTCTCTCTCACTCTCATCCTATTACTGCATCTTGCTAACTCGGCCATTCTGGATGTCACTAACTCGGCTTCTTCTCCGGAGCCTTTGTGCTCCACTGTCTCTCAGATTAACTCATATCGCAGCGGTGCCTGGACAGCGTGACGTGTGTGGTTGTGCTGCTGCCGTGGTCCTGCCAGATGCCTCCTGCTGCTGCTGCCATCATTAGTCATTAGTCATACTTCTACTGTTATTATACACATATGACTATTGTCACACATGTATACTGCCAGATATTAATACATACTTTCAACATATTGTACCACAGTAGCCAGAACTATAACTATAATATTATTACTTTCAATAATGTTGTTGTAAGCTACTGTCATTACCTGCATCTCTCTCTCTCTCTCTCTCTCTCTCTCTCTCTCTCTCTCTCTCTCTGTCTCATTGTGTCATATGGATTACTGTTAATTTATTATGCTGATCTGTTCTGTACGACATCTATTGCACGTCTGTCCGTCCTGGAAGAGGGATCCCTCCTCAGTTGCTCTTCCTGAGGTTTCTACCGTTTTTTTTCCCCGTTAAAGGGGTTTTTTTGGGGAGTTTTTCCTTATCCGCTGCGAGGGTCATAAGGACAGAGGGATGTCGTATGCTGTAAAGCCCTGTGAGGCAAATTGTGATTTGTGATATTGGGCTTTATAAATAAAATTGATTGATTGATTGATTGCTTAAATGATCCCTTTAGAAAATGTTCAGTTGGAACAGAAAGTGTCAAAAATGTGCAGCAGATGTTTGAGGCTCACTGCGTTTTTCTTGCACCGATTTTCTCTTAAATATACTCTAAAAATATTCTGAAGATACTCTCTGCTGCAGGAACAGACTCATCATTAAAACGTACAGAGAACTGTCATGGTGGAACAAACGCAGCTCTGTAAATGTTTCAGAAAACACAAATGAGACACTGATTTTGCCCCAAAGTCTCCAACAGTAACACTCCTGTTAGAGGCTGCGTGCAGAGAGAGGAACACCTGCAGACAAAACTCAGGACTATCTCTGCACCTTTGTTGGGTGAAAACATAAAAATATTTGATCTAAAGTCAGATTTACAGAAGTTACTCTGCTTAACAGTCTCACACAGTTATGGTTATCCCCTTTCTCCAAACGTCCACCTCCCAGTTCTGACACTAACCCTACGCTCATGTGGGCGCCACCTGAAAAAAACTGGTGGTATGTTCCTTTGACAGTGAGGATCAGGTAAAGAAAACAACCACGAGAGGAAACCAAACATGAACCTGATCCGAGGAAACAACAGGAGAAGAGACCTGCTGAGATCGAGTGCGCACAAACACACACACACACACACACACACACACACACAGAGGAATGTAGAGTTTCAGGAGTTTCAGCACCATGGAGAGCGTCTGGTCCCAGGTGGAGTCGAGTTTCAGTCAAATCACAGCGGAAACATTTTTCTACAAGAATCCCACAAACCTTCAGGTCAACACACACACACACACACACACACACACACACATATTTCACAAAGGCACTGCGGTGGTTAAGGTCAGTGTGGTTAAACCACAAAAAACTATTTGGTTCACTGATCCATTTTGAAGTTATGAAATAGAAAATAAATAAAAGAGAACACCCACTCTTGAGAATTGGCCTTAAAATGACAAC